GACATTTTAAACATCTGTTGAATCTAAGATAATGGTACGAGGAACATGCCGCACAGAGGGTACCCTGGTAGCCAGTGTTACACTTTGAGTTTATTCCGCCCTTACATGAGTCTGGATAAGGGCACTTCAGAGGCTTTGGCAACTGTCCTTCAAAAATGGAGAAGGTTTTATTGTATTTAGCTGTGGTAATATGAATGTTGTGGACGAAACTTAAGTAAAATTCCATTTTTTCGGAGCTGTTCCATTTCCAAAAGTAATTTGGTGCTAATATTGCCGTATCATCCTCACAGTTCATTCCATGATATGGACACGATTTGCAGGGACCAAAACGATTCAAGCGGTAGAATTTATGAAGGCATCGACATGCACGGTAACCAGCGGTTTCATTAGTTCTAGTACCTGTTTACAAACACAGAAATGTTATGTAAACACATTGCGACCAAAATTTCCCAACATGAAAGCCCTTTACTCTTCTGAGAGATCTTTCAGGGACCAGTTGTTCAATGGACGGATACGATAACACTATCAAACGGGTAAATCGCTATCCAGTGGATAAGTGTTCACAAAACGTACTGCGCTATCCACCAAATTGAGATTTATCCAGTCAAGAGCGCTATCCAGCCTTTGAACAACCAGGGCCAGATGGCAACCACCAGTGCTCTCCACAACATTGTAAACCTATGGTTGCATGGGAAGTGATACACATCAGAGACCACACCAAAATTTACCGACAGCACCTGGTCAACAATTTACGGTTAGCGACGGGTAGTCGTTTTTCCTCACCGCGCTCTGAAAATTAGCAATACAGGTGTCGAAATAAATGGCTTTTCCTAGCTTGGCTCCACGATCAGTAATGACTCTTAATCGCGAGAAAATGATTAATAATTAGTTTGTGTGTAAAATCATAATGAAAAACAAACACATTTTGCAAAGCATAAAATCATGGTAATCGGACAATAAGATGGTGAGTAAAACCACGCAAGAGTTTGTTATTGAACCTGATCCTTACCGTATGGGCATGCGCGACAGTCATTAGGACTTTTTCCAGGATGCTGTTCCTCAGGAACATAGGTACCCGTGCTGCAAATCTTGCATCCATATTGACCCATCTCATCTTGATAAAAGCCTCCTGAAACGAAAGCATTTTCAGTTAATACGTGTTACTTTTATTTTGAGATCAATGAATAGGCAAAAAAGAAAAAAATGTGCGCAAGCCCTGTTCGCAAGCCTTATGCGCTGGTTTGCGGAAGGAATGAAGGAGCGGAGGAACGAAGGAGTGAATTTTGGTTCGGCGCAATTCTAACAAAATCTTAAAGGGACTGATCCTTGATTTTTTTATTAGGAGCATCTGAATGCATGGAACAACGCGTCTAGTTTTTCGTGAAAAACGGTAATGAAAAAAAAAACAATAGCATATTATAATCAAAAGACTTAAGTAATTACCTGCGGGACACTTTAAACAATTGGTGTGTGAGTCAACTGTCGGATAATAGGTACCCACCGAGCAAAAACTGCAGTTATAGCACCTGCGTAAAGGACCGTGCCTGTATTTTCGGCACATAAAACCTATGAGTCCCCTCATTACAAACCCAATTTCATCATTGCAGAGGACTACGTGGAAGGTAGCTGACGGAGCACATTCGCTAAAGAAAGAAACAAAAGACAGATTGACACCGTTATCACCTCTTTCAACAACCAATAAAGCGAAATAGGGTTTATCTTTAGCGCATGAAGAAGACAGTGATAATCGTGTGAATGATTAAAGCGCCAAAGCCTCTGCAAGCCACCTAACCCTTGTTTAGCGACAAGTTTGCATTTCTCAGAAGGCAGACGCTCTAAGTAGGAGTTCGACTATTCCACTAGATTAGCTTTTACTATTTGTATGACACCAACTCACTCGTTACTAACATTTTATGATAATTATTTATTTATCATTTACTTTGTATTAATTTCTAATTTGAATTTGTTGAAAACTGAGCTGGGTGAATAAATTAAGTCAAGTGTAAGTGTATAAAGCTAACTCATTGCTTACCCATTTGTTTCTAAGCTTTTCATGACTACTCACATTAAAGGAAAAGTAGACTTCCCTCGTGGAATCTTTCGAAGGTTTTTACATGAAACAGCCCTGCAAGATGAAGCACAATCTTTATCATACGGTTTTTTTTTCAGTGATGGTAATGATATGGCCTGTAGCAACTAGAATTTGAATTTCTGTTAATTGTCAAGTAACTGCAAAATTATTTTATCATATAAACTGCGGTGTTATACAAGGATTTCCGGCCTTAAGAAAAGCCGTAACAACACACGTGAAAAAATATCGTATTTTTTCACGTGTGTTGATATAGCCAATCAGCTACTGACACGTCACTCGCCTTTAGCGCCACTCAATCAGGTTGATGAATGAACGGCAAAGCCTTCACCCATTTTTCCATCTTAAGAGTTAGCGCCAACGTACTCTACGATAGTTATTCGGAGATTGTCGATTCATTTATTTTCATTCATTAATGAAGTCGGCTTTTCTTCTCAGTAAAGGGCTATTATACAATAAACAAAGTTATTTATACGATAAACAAAGTAATACATGGTTGCTTGTAGACATGTAATTTCTCTTCTCGTGTTCAACTCGAAGAGAGATTCCATATCTACGTGCGCCCAGGTACTATTCTCTATTTTTATTATTTCCTCTTTCAATTGAACTACTGTTGTATGTTATGCTGTATGTTATGTCTCTATTCAATTAAGTTCGCGTTTTTGCGTGAGGTTGTGTAAGAATTACGTAACGCCAGTAGCGTTGTATTTCTCGTCAGTATAAAGTTAGATAATTTTCATCGCTAGTTGATTTCAACTAAGTCAGTCGTTTCGTTACTTTTTGCTAGCGCCGTGTTACTTTTGTTTAAGAGTTTTACTATCGGACCTGGTTACGCCACAAATTGTAAGTTCGTTTCTATTTCAAGTAGCTTTGTCTATATTCTTGTTGTTGTTATATTTGTACTGAGATATTTATATTAATTATTTATTTTTAGTCAAATCACATTCACATATTACACATCTACACATCTTTACTTTTAAATATTTGTCGATCTGGGAGTTAGATTAAACGTGCATTCAAGTTGTGGCGTAAAACATGTAGTACATACAAACATGTACAAGGCCATGCTTTCAAACGGAGAGAACCAGAGTTACAAAGGAAAGCAGGTTTTTCAGTCCTTGGCAGACTCAGTGGCCGGGTTATCGTGTTAAGGTATTGGGCAAAACATTTTACTCTCCCCATGCCTCTCTCCACCCAGGAGTGTAAATGAGTGAAAGCCAATAGTCAGGGAAGCCTGATGAAATGCCGGGGATGTCATTGCGAAAGACTAGCATCTGGTCCCATCCAGGGGGGAGTGCTAATACTTCTAGTTGCTACATGCTAAGGAAACCGGGTTAAGCTTCGGCCAGGTGGATTACTTGGCTCGAGTTCAGTCTCCAGACATGTGCTTTAAAACTGGAATGATACACATAAAACATGATCCAATTTAAGTGATGAGGTAACACTTGTACAATAAGCATCCGTGAATGCAAACAATTATCTTCAAATTGTTGATAATGCGCTCAAATCGTTGTGGCCAAAAACAACAAAAACAAAACAATCCATATAATCGTACGTCCTGCACATTTTAAAAACATTAAGCTACGCCGCTTAGTTTTTACAGTGTTCGATTCTGCTACTCTTTTGATTGGATAATACTTACAATGTAGCATTTGTATTAATTCCCATGAACATCTGTCTTGGAAGAAATTTTAGGGGATTGTCAAATAGTGTCCTATAAACGAATAAAAAAAGGCACATCTGACTTAAAAATCAATATTAAAAGTATTTTTAATCATTTGTTAATATCGTGTTCATAGTAAATACAGAGCACTTTGGTTATTGAATGAGTGGTATTTTTTTAATAAAAGATCTGAGACACTACAAGGCCCATAAGTTATTGGTCAAACCCTATCTTTTGTTGGTCTTTATTGCACCGGTAAACCGATAGAAAATTGAAACATTGAAAAGTTATTTAATAAAAGCGAAAGACTGCCCTCTTTATCAGTTTACCGTGTCGGAGGCGAGTAATCCACAAACTTTTCAAGTGTTCTTCCAACATCCTGTGTGGATCATTATTCCGGTAAAACCTGTAGAAAGTGCGGTCTATCACTTCATTTAATGATTGAGAAACACGAACTTCTTTGTTTTGTGAGAGATTTAATATGTGATCTTGTCTTGATCTCAAACCAACCAAAAGCTATGTGGAAAAACATTCTTTTAGATGTCGATTATGCATATTCTTGAATTAAAAGAGATTTTTGCTTATAACTTACATCGATTTAAGGTCACTGAGGCCTCGAAAACCGTTGCTATCAACATCTTTGATTCTGTTTCCGTGAAGGAACCTGTTTAAAGTGACAGTAAGATTGTTCGAGAAGGAGCACAACAGGTTAAGTTCTACTCAAGCCATACCGACTCAGGTTATGCAATTTTCTTAATTATGGGGAGCCTCTGATTTTCAATTAAGAAAGAAGCTATAAAGTTTATGAGTTAATCATTTTTCATACGCTCAACGTTCGAGTGTTTCCCCGTATCATCCCTTTTTTCTTAAAAAATACCGTTTTGTGTGAAAATTAAAAAGGAGAACTCCAAAGTACTTACAAAATTTGTAACGGAGTGTCAGCAAAAGTGTTTTCAGGAATGAAAGCCAGACTGTTGTTTACGAGCGACCTAATGTTAAAAGAAGTAAAAGATTGTGGCACGATGATTATTAATAGTATATACATTATGTACGTATAGAGACTATATACATTATAAAGCAGAATGAATTGCTGGTAATCTCTTGCATGCGACGCCGATCCCTCACAGGTAATCACTCAGCATTTCCTTGGTTTCAATTGACAGTTTGAATTGGCGCCCGTTTGCAAGGAAAACTATGGACAGCAGATTGATCTTAATTGTATAAGTCATGATGCGTGACTTGATTAAACAGCTCAAACAAACTCCATTAATTAGCTTATTATATAAATCTTATTTATCCTCGAGGAAAACAGGTTTAAAATGCCGAAGTACAAGAGGTTAGGTAAAAATGAGGGCCTTGAATTTCAAGTTCTTCCAGTGATGATTCTTTGTCGACATGTGTGAGTGCTGTAATTGGCTATGGCGAGCCTTTGTGAAAAGAACAGGATATACATACAACATGCGCAGATTTTTGAGCCCAGCGAATGAGCGGCGGCTGATTTCTGAGATGTAATTGTAACTTAACGCCCTTCAGATCAAAAGAAAACACAAAATGAATACATTAATTCGAGTTTATCGTTATTCGGTTTTATGTATCGTACAGTGATCAGAATATCAGAATACTAAGTTCAAGTTAGTTTAGTTTTTCTTTTCTTTCTTTTTCTTTTCAATCAAACACAGTAGAGCATAACATCAAAGAGAGAAGATGCAGAATGTGATCTGACATCACAAAATGGCATCTTGTTACTCACAACCGAACTAACTGCTTGCACCCAGAAAACGCCTCATGTGGTATGAACTGGAGATTATTGAAGGACAAATCCCTGTGAAGAGAAACAGAAAGACAGGCTGTGTAAGAGACTAATCATTATTTTCGCCTAGGGGAAAGGGTTTTTGAGGAGATCACATGGTTTTCAGAGAGGGAGTGGGGGGTTCCTACGTCATCAACAGAGTATAAGGGGGGACCGTATGAAATTGACTACTAATTAATTGCTAATCAGGAAGGGGATCATAAGAATGTTACAGAGTCTTACGGAGGATCAGTTACACAGAATCCTTCCTCTCCTCCCCCTCCTCCCCGCAGCTCGATAAATAATGACTGGCTCCTAAGCTATTTAATGTGGCGAAACAGATATAAGGGAAGATTGAGAATAATCTTTCATGAGGACTTCTTTACCTTTCTACTTGCATTGGATAATACAGACAGACTTACAAAGTGTATGCGACGGGTAAGTTCTGAAAGATATCGGTTGGTAGCTCTTTGATGTCATTATTTCCCAATAACCTGCACATAAGAACGTCAGGAAGTGAAGTTAATCTTCGTTGATTAAATTGTGTTTCTATTCTCGCACTGATATTTCTTAATTGCGGTGACTGTTGTAAACATCTTGATAAATAAGGATCACAGTAGATCGAAGAAAAATACTGCAATCTGATTGGCTGCGCCAGCCAATCTCCATTTCGCGATGGATAGTGAGAAAAGTGGGTAGCCTTAGAGGAGGATACAAAATATGAGTCTTTAAAAGTTTTAACGATCAAAAGGTTTTTATGTATATAAAAAATTACAACTAAATCATTCTCTCTCGATTTCTATGGTTTCGTAATCATAAACTAACACGCGATAGAAAGCTCTCTAACTAATAGTTAGAGAGGCTTTGACGACGAATTACAAAGCGCTTTCTATTGCATCCTTTTCACCTGACCAGAATTTATACATATTGATTTTCTATTCTTATGAAGACTCGTTTTGCAAAGTAACAATAAAAACAATCGATGCCCTGCGGAGAATAACAAGATATACCGAAAAAATTTTTGCCTACAGGTCTTTCACGACTTTTGAGGTTGCGCTGTTGAGTCGTGATATGTCCTTGATTTTGTTACGTTCCATGTCTCTACAAAATATAAAGAAGGATGAAGATTAGATTGAAGCAAATTAAAAAGCTCTCTATTTCCTACAATTAATTCTCCGAGCCACCCCTGGAATATAAACGTCCAAGGAATAATCATTGAAGCGGAAGTTGACATCACAAAAAAGCCACAGGCGCGCCACTGCGCAGGGTACTGGAGTTTTCATTAGGAAAATATCATTGGACTGAAAACAAAATAAAAGCGAGTGATCACGTGCTGAACATTGCCCTGAGTTTGCCTTGGGATGATTCCAGTTTTCATTGACCCTTCCTGTCGGAAAAGAACATTCAGTCCCTTTACCAGAATGAAATTTATGTGCTTCTGGAATGTCTACGCATACAAGAGGGGATGGCATTTCACTAGTTAGTCTTGTTGTCACATCAGCTTATAATAACTCATCGACCTTTGGGAAATTACTTAATCCCAAGGGTTACAAATTTAGTCTTACGTTGGAGGTAGCGGGGCAGAGCGGTTACGGCGCCGGACTTGTAGTCTGCTGGGCTCAATTCCTCCAACTATCTAATCACTGGATTTGTTGTTGCTCGCCCTAAGTAAATATCCTTGGCTGCGCCCTTTATAAAGAGGCCAAATATAGCCAACTTATTTACTCCCTGCCAATTGAGTGATTTTGTTTCGCAATCTGTGTTCAATTGTAATATGTCCACATCGGCTTTAAGGAGCCGCATCATCTGGTACCCTGATCCTACCGTGTAACTGAAATGTAAGATCTTACAACCGCTTGGCCGTGATAGGCTTGGGTAGGAGACTGAGAGCCGCATTGAAAGAATAGCTGATAAAGTAACTATTAAGATAAGTAAGGTGAAATGGTATGTGGTAATCAGTGAAAAGGACTAATTCACAGCGTCAATCACTTACAACTTAATCAAACTAGTGAGGCCAGTTAAATCTGGCACAGATGTTAACTTGTTGGTTTTCAGAAGTCTGGAAAAGAAACAAAAAATTTGACTTCAAACAAACCGTTACGGCTAGAGCTACAGCCACCATTACTACAACTGCTAACACCATTATTACGATTAGACATGGAGAATAATACATGGGCGTGCGTAGATATGGAATTTCGCTTCGAGTTGAACACGAATATATAATAAACGTTAAACACGTTTATCGTCTGAACATAAAAGCCCTTTACCGACAAGAAAAGTCGACTTTGATTGAATGTAAATAAAAGGATCGACTATCCCCGAATAAAGTGCGTTGTCGCACTCACTATGGAAACATGCGTTAGATCACTACAAAAACAAACAAGGGACCTAATTTCCAATATACAAAATTCTCAGTTATTGACTTAGTCCTTACCGACAAAGAAATCTTTCAGGTACACGGCCAAATCGGCCTATGGCAAATCTTCCAGCTGCCTATTTTCGTTCTCAGCCACGAGAAATGCCAGTAAAGCCACTAAATACGTAACTTTCGGTCTTTCTTTTCATATTTTGGTTTTCTTCCTCTTCTAGGATAGTTTGAACGGTTCTGTATGTAAGCGATACGGATTTTTCAGTGCTTTAGCAGCCATAATCCGAAAAAAATTCCGACAAACGAACTTGGATTGAGAATGGTGAAGGCTTTGCCGTTCATTCATCAACCTGACCGGGTGGCGCGAAAGGCGAGTTACGTATCAGCAGCTGATTGGCGATACCAAACACACGTGAAAAAACATACTGATTTACCTGATCCCCCCATAAGGCTCTGTAGTATTCTAATGACCCCCCTCACTATTTAGCTCGAAGGATCCCCTTCTGTTCTCCCTGAAAGGGAGTCAACAGTTGGAGTCAACACGGAGTCAACAGTTGGTCGTAAAACATTTGTTAATCACGAGTATGATTACAGACAGAATTGGACGACACCAAGTCCTGTTACCAATTAATCAAAACTAGGACAAAATTTGAGAAAGAAAGGGCATTGGTTATACGTTTTCATAAAAAAAAAAAGCTACAGTGAATTAACTCGGCAAAATGCGAGACAACAGCGCGCGCACACGACGCATTCTGTCCACTTACACAGGCATGGCTTGTTAACTGTCCTATTACATTATCCAAATACAAGCATGACGCGCACGCTGTCCTATTCGTGCTCAAATTGCACCGGTGATAACCAATCACGTTCGAGAATTTTGTAATAGTTTTGATAAATAATGGTAATAGGACCGAGTGGAGTCCAATTAGGTCTGTAATTATACGAGTGATTAACAAAATCGGACGATCGCGAAGCGGAAGTCCAATTTGTCAATCACTCGTATGATTACAGAACGAATTGAACGACAAGAAGTCCTGTTATCAATTAATCATAACCATTTAAATTTCTGAAAAAGCAAATACACCTTAAACAAATATCTCCAGTGGAGACAATGTTTTTAGTTAAAAATTCCTCTATTATGGAAATTCCCCAGTTTTTCTTTGGATAAGTGATTGTTGCTTTAGTTATTTTGATCATTTCTGTGATTGGTAGATTAGCTCAGTGGACTTAGTATGATTGGCTGCTTCAACTGTCCGATTACAGCCAACTGTCCGATTACACTGTTCGATTACAACTGTGCAGAATGATTAGTGAAAAATGAAGCTGCGAATACACCAATAACATTTTAGGAATTTGTAATGATTGTGATTAACAATTTAACTGCAGAATCTAAATGGAGGCGGGAAAATACGATACAATGTTTACAAGGACAAAGAGCACTTACAAAGAAGAGAGGCTCTTGAAACGACTGAATGTTCCATCAAGAATCGTTGAAAGAGAATTGTTATGCAGATCCCTGTGACAAATTAAAATAAGTCATTGAACCAGGAAAGTTACAGTTTCACGTGGAAGGAAACTAAAACCTCTCCAAAAAAGGGTTCTTAATTAGAGAAAATGCTTTAGATAAATAACACATGCCGCCATTTTAGGTTTTATTGCCCCGTTAAAAGCCAAGCGAACTCAAACTTCGCTTCAAAAATGTTTTATCTTTTAGAGAAAATCTACGTTCGGTTTCTCGGATGTTTTTAAGGCGGATTGCAGTCCCGCTCCTCTAAACATGCACATCTCAGCTGCAGGAAGGGCTCAATTCGGACGGCCAGACCATTTCGCAATTTTCTTTACTTACAAAAACTTGAGTTTATCAGAAAGTCCTTTGAAGGTTTCTGGCTCCATACGAGACAACATGTTGCAAGCAAGGTCCCTGAAAGTTTAAGGTAGAATAATGACAACCTTTAAATTTTTCTCACAACTCATTAAACCCCATTCAATGGCTAAGGAGGGAAACCCTTTGTATATTATAAAATGGGTTGGAAAAAAATTAACTGTTGGATACTTACAGGTCAGCTAATTGCTCCATCGATTTAAAGGTTCCGCTCTCAATATGCTTTAGTCCACATTTTCTCAAACATCTAGTGAGGTAATAAGTTCTTAAACGTGGTTAAAAAATAAAAATAGGAGTATATTACCGTTGCATTCAAAGCACCCGTTTTTCAGGTCAAAGCATTGTTGATGATAACATGACCTTTTGATTGATTCCAACAGAAAAATGAAGATACAAGTTTAGCGAGAGATTAGGAACTCTTGTGGTTAGTTACTTACAGAAAGATCATACTTTCACAGCCTTCAAAAGTGTCCACTGTCAAGTTAGGTCCGATTGGATTTCCAGTTATATCTCTGTGGCAATGGATACCAAAAATATATCAGCTTAATTCATGGCAAAGCATTGTGTTGCAGCCTTACATTTTCTGCTCAGAAACTGGACTCATATCTTGGGATACACATCTTATAGGTTAAATGAGGTATAAAGCAATGATGTGATACTTCAGCTAAAGAGCTCTCATTAGAGTAAAAATGTTATACCCTATCGATGAAATTGCTATGGTCGGAATCGTGAAATATTGAACATGTAATTAGGCATACTTACAAATTTTTGATTCTCTTAGAATGTTTCAAAATAAGTTTCAGGTCAATCAAAGATAGTCTATTAAAGCGTACTAAGCTGAAATTAAAAAAATATCCCGCAGTCGATATATTGAATTAATCTAAGAACGGCAGAATAGTGGCTTTACATTGATTTTGTTATGTTTAAAAACAAGACAACTAGTATTAATTTTCGCATGATATCAAGAATTGTCAAACTTCGTGCCCGTGTTATCTATCTACCTCAGCCTTTGGCTTCAGCAGATAACCCAGACTTCGGCTTTGATAAGTAATAGTAATGGGACTGAGTGGAGTCCAATTCAATCTGAAATTATACAGATGATAACAAAATCGGACCCGCAGCGGAAGTCCGATCTATTTATCACGAGTATGATTAGAGACAGAGTTGGACGACATGAAGAATTATCACCAATTAATCATTACAATTTCTGAGAAAAGAAGAATATCCAATTAAGTTATGAAAGAAAGGGAAAATTTTCATTAAAGGACTGACAAAGGAGGTGTAAATTGTTTAATTGGTTGATTTAAACTACTACTTTGAATGCGATTGGTTGATTTAATCTACAAATCTGAAGGTGGTTGGCTTCTTGAACTGTCTGACAACAAATTGTTCGATAACAACTTGGCAAGTGAATTAGTGGAATATAGTAGTTTTTCAAACTATAACAATCAATTATCCATCGTATCATTTTCAACCTCATCTGATAATTGCTTGGTAGTAGTCAAAACAGCCTGAGAAACTCAAAAGGCTAATACTTACACTATTGCCGAGTTTTTTGGAAGATAAAATCCACCTTGGATAAAGTTGTTGTTGATATTTCTGTGAGGGTAAAATAAAATATTTTCACCGCTCTAACGCGTGTTGCACAAAATGTTATTTTATTGAATTGTAAACTAAACATGCTAAACTGAACCTTGAGTTAGTTAGATATACCTTAAGCCCATTTGGAAAGAGTGTATGTACTGAGCCCAAACCCAAATTAAAGTAATCATGACTACAACCAATCAAAACAGAGATACACACCACATGGAAGCCATTCAAAACTCAAAGTACAGACATTTTACGACATCAAGCGAGGGAAAACGCGAGTGATTTGAAACGACTGGTTTTTAATTGCATTTTAACTGCATCTAGAGAGAGGTGTAAGGTAGAAAGGCAAAAATAGCGCTATTCTGAATTACTTTAGATATGGAAATTCAAGCTAAAAAAGTACACGCAGCTCCTTTGCATTTGCTTCCTTGATTTCTCCTCTCATTAAAGTATTTTTCTCAAAAAAGAAATTCTCTACTTGCATTGTCTCAAGCAGCGTCAAATTTCGAAAGGTGTTCTTTGGAACTGACCTCAAATCGTTCCACGAAAGATCTCTGTTATGGCAAAAAAATTGTAAACATATGAGCAATCAATGAGAAAAAATATATATAAAAGAAGTGAACATATCAGCAGGCGGGAATTTTTTAGTTGATTCTCAATTGGAAGTTGACAATCAAATAAATATTTCATTTGTCCGCCGAAGCAGCTTGTTCGATGTTCAGTCGCTTAGTAAAAAAACCAAAACCAAAACCAAACCAAACTTTCCCTAGGGGAAAAAAAAAAAAGAAGGAAAATTTTAAGTTCAGGATCCTCTAATTCTCAGAGGCGAAACAAAGTTCAGATGAAGTATTTGGAAGTTTGAAGAACGTCTAGCACGATTAACGACTGAAAAGAAAAGTCCAGTAAAACTTTAACGTCGCACACTGCCTTTACTCTTGAAAAAATCTCTCCTCCAACTATTAGTAATCTGAACATTTATGAAGTTATTTAGCTCATTTGAAAAAGGCAAAAAAGACAATTTTCCGGGCTCGTCTTAGAGATGTAGTGTTTCGTTTTCCCCAATTCAATCACTAGGGATAGTCCACACGTGGATTCATTTCTATCATACATATTCAGAAAATAGAGAATCCCAGCTAGATCACGTACAGTAAAAACCAAATTAATACAACGTTCCTCTTTTCATACCAAATACATTTTTGAGATAAAGGGCGGAGAGCATCATGAACAGAAATTTTCAACCTACACATTCTTAAGCGACGTCAGGTTTGTGAAAGCATCCTCTTTGATAGACGTCAGATGATTACCTGAAAGATTCCTTAAAAAAATAGCATATACATACGTGATTTTACCTAATCATTTTTACCACTTATGTACCGGCAACGGCTAGACGCATCATCTTTTCGAAGAAGAAACTCTGGTTATATTGCAACAATTCGCACTAAATTTCTTTCAGCGTTCTGGCTTATTTTTCCGCCGAGTGAGACAGTATGGTCATCAGTCTCGATTTACCGATATCGGAGCTTATTTTAGAGATAAAGGGTATCCCAGACCAGAGTTTTTTGTGGCTTCAGTCAGTTAGGATGGTCCATACATTTATAACTATCAGTAGAAAAATATCGTCAGTAGAAATTGGAGAATGCTATCCACTGTCTCTTTTTATAATGGTTGAGTTACTGTGGACAAAATAAAATGATTGAATTCAGTAGACTTTGACCTGTTCTTAAAAAGCCTTTGAGTTTCTAAAGACCTATTTTTATTTTTGCCGCATTAACCGTTCACCTTGGGAAGATAACTTATCATGGAATTTTTTCAGGCTGTTATTTGATATGCACGAGTCGTCAGAGTCAGGTTTTACAATATGTTGACAATTGTAGCAAATGTGTTACCATAAAACATTAAAATTGTGGCGATTTTTCCTCATCCAATTAAAGGAAGAGTTATTTTAATATAAGGATAACTCTTCTGGGGGACTAAGTTCTTATTCTACTCACAATATCACTGTATTCGATGGCAAATCATCAGGCACCTGTGTAATTCCAGAGCACTTCACGATAGTTCGACTATCGCCAAAAGGTGTACAAGTACAAGTCCCTGGATGAACGTCTTCTAAACAACACAATCCTAAAGCTGCGGATGACAGCACAATTAAAAACTGTATCACAGGCAGACATGCCGAAGGTCGGAGCTCAGAAACTTTACCCATCTATGAAAAGAAAGTAAATACATGCATTAAGGTTTCGTAAGCCCGCACATGCCTGAGTGAGAGTGATGCTAGCGCTAGCTCAACCAAGAAGGATATGCCTTGGATTTATATAAAAAGGAAAAAACCAAAGTTGAAAAAGCAGCGCGGGAGCAAGGTCATTGTCTGGAAAGTTGAGTTTTTGTTTAGAGAGCGATTTTTCATATTTATTCTTTGCTTGACCATGGGCGTCTGTCTCCCTCAGAAATGTTGTAAAAACATCGCTTTCAACTGTAAATCATACATTTATGAATTTCCAAATGGAATTTAAATTTTCCATTTTATATAAAAGCTTCTCTTCACCTCTAAATTTGACTCGTAACTCAATTATGCTTAAGCTTTAAAGAAATTTTAAAACAAAATGAATCAGTCACAAAATCATTACGTATCAAACACCACCGTCGGCTGAATGATTTTAAGTCAAAACCCGCTGAATGGATATCAGGATTTCTTTGCAATATGCTTGAACAAACCTCAGCGTGGCTTTTATCGAGCTTCTGTGACGACCAACCTCTGCGAATTTCTTTTTCCTTCTATACCCTGATATTCAGTTTAAATTGTAAACTACTTGTTCCTTGATCCCATCCTTTTATGATGATTTTTAATGACCCCATCAGACATAGGTTCGATCTAGAAACAGATGGCACTGACAGAAACTGATACTTTATATCAATTGCTAATGCTAATGAAACATCATCCAATGTCAGCAGCTATAATCAAGAATAGGCCTGACAATTTTTTTTCCTTGATAGTTCTTTTTTAAATGTTCGGATGAAAGCATCCCTTGTCTAAAATCCTGTTCTATTAGACTTTTTCGTTGTTCAGTTTTCAGTCGCCATTAACCTAACTATATAGATACATCCTTCACTTGCGAGAAATCCTGAACTCGGGCAATATTATCTTATGAATTTCATCGCTAATTACGAGAGGTTGTTAATTACTTTCAGAACTTTAAGAATAATGAATGCAGTTTGCCTTTCATAACTAGCATCAGTTCACTAATTGTAGTTTTCAGAACGAAGTTGAACACTTGTATCCAATGCAAAACATAACGGAATTAAGTTGATCCGAAACAAATATGTATTAAAAAGCGAAAC